GATTATTTTTGCATTTACAATAAACCTCAGATTAACGTGCAGCAATCCTTAATGATGGCTCTACAGGGTTGTGCTGGATGGTAACAATGGAACAGGTTTAGGTTCATTGATCCCCACAGGACTTTTAGCTTCCATGGATGCAAGTGAATCTGGCCTCTGTAGGCTTAAAAAAAAACATTAAAGCCCCCTGTTAGTTTTTCTGATGGTGATGAAAATAATTTCTGCTTACAGGCCTTTGTGGACTTTTTCTCCCGTGGCCTACATGAGGAGTACAGACGGCAGGGCATCATCATTCAGGTTGGTATGAACCACAACTGCTAAAACTAGATCTATACTTCAGTTTGCTGCATTATTTTTTTTTTTAAACCTTGCAACATGCTCAGAGATTTTGGTTGTTATGTTAAATCAGGATTAAAACTGGTAGAGACGCATAATGGTAGTATGAAAGAATTTTACTTTGAGTGTGGAAATTTAAAATTATTACATTGATTATTTCTTTACTGTGGTAAACTCCTGCCACCTTGTGGCTAACGTGTTCCTAAGCCCTTTAGTGAAATAAGATATTTCAAGCTCAAAGTGATTAAATCATTTTTCATTTTTTTAGAGTGTGCTCCCCTTCTTTGTGGCAACCAAAATGACCCGCATCAGGAAGCCCACCCTGGATAAGCCCACCCCAGAGCGCTACGTAGCAGCTGAGCTCAACACTGTGGGTCTGCAGAGCCAGACCAACGGATATTTCCCTCACGCTGTCATGGTAAGGAAAAGGAAACCGTAAAGCACAGATTGTTGAGCTGAATACAGTTAAAGTTAAAATTTCAATATTATTAGTTACCTTAGATATTTGGTTTATAGAGGTTTCTAACATTGTTGGTGCACAGGTTCCTTCTGCTTGTTGTTGGCATTAATGTCATAATTTTTGGACTTGTGGTTGGTTTAGAAAATGCTTTTTCCCTGAGATGGAAAATTCGATCTAAAAACTTGGCTTTTTTTTTTTTTTTTTTCCTATAATCAGAGCAAAGCATTTGATTAAAAGCTGCTCGTACTTAGAGACTTTGTGTCAGAGATGGCAGTTATCCATCAGCCCCCCAACTGGCTAGTATTGCCATTTGCCCCAAGTTCCTGGGGGCCCCATAAAACTGTTTACATGTATAGTTAATCCAACTATTCCTTATTTGTGCACATTATGTTTTTGATAAAAAATCCTTTGGCTAAAAAAACACTTATGTGTCTCAGCCCCCAAACAGACAGCAGCAAACCATTTGAAAACAAATGATGCGAAGAGCAGTGTTGCCAACTTAGCGCTTTAGTCGCTATATTTGGCAACATTTCAGACCCCTCTAGCACTCTGAATTCAAAAAAGCGCATAGCGACTTTTTTTTCTGCTACTGGAGACTTTGGAGACAACATCTAAAAGCAGCGAACTCTGCTCTCCAGAGCAAGTAGATTGGTAACCCCGCCTCCTGCTCTCCTCTATCTTGTCTGCTGTCATGATTCATGCAGCTATTATTTCATCCAAATGAAAAATGGAGAACAGATAAGCAGATCATGGCTTGTCTACAGTGAAAAGAAGGACTGGGTTATTTACTTTGGCCTTTTTGGAAACACAGGAAGGAGCAATCAGCTAAGTGAGCTTAGTGCTTGGAAAAAATCTTTCATTCCTTTAGAGACAGCATGAAAAGTCACCTGAGTACAAAACATAGAGAGGAAAACAAGAAGAGAGAACAGATAATGAATGTCTATTCTATTAACATTTCTCTATCTATAGAATGGGTTGTTTTTATGTGTTCTCAATTCAGAGGGCCCCCTGCCTGTCTTTGCCCAGGGCCCCAAATTTCCTAAATCCACTCCTGGATTAAACAATTACACTCCTAGTATTTGGGTAGGATGTTTTGGATAGAGAGGTGTGCCAACACTACTGTGATGGGCAATGAAAACTGAATTCCAGAAGCTTCCATTCTTGCCCCTTTTTTTTGGAGCTTTTAAACATGGATTTTGTGCAGCTTTTCCAATTTGCCAAAAATCTTGATCAACTATTTTAGTTTCTCAATCGACGCCCTGAAACATCTTTAAATGAAACATCATGCCATTTTCATGAAAGGTTGCAGTTTGCCGTTAAGTGCCGGTGTTGATGTCCGCCTTTTGATTGCAGGGTTGGGTGACCACCAGGCTGGTACCAAGCAGCATCGTCATCTTCCTGGGCGCCAGAATGAACCGCCTTCAGCGCACAGGTTACCTGAGGAGGAGGAAGCTGCGGGAGCAAAAAAACGGAGCCAGTTTGAAAACTGAATAAGATGGACAACGATGCAGCTGGCGACCATGATGTGCTTGAGGAAGTATGTTGGTGCGATTCGACCCATGGAAGCTGCCTTAAAATCGAACCTATTGTGCCTGATGAGTAAACCTTCACAGCAGACATAAAGCTGCACAGTCTACCCCTGATGTCTGTCTGGGTAGATGTAGCCAAAGAATTCAGGAACTTGTGATAAAAGTGCTGGTTTTGATGAATGGTGCCAATCTTTGTTTTGTTTTTTTTGTTGTGTTTTTTTCACTGACACTATTGGTGGGAATAATGATGCAAAAACAATGACCAAACCCTGCTGTAGTAGACAGTGAAAACGGTGATGGGCATCTTTTTTATATCAAATTATTTATTGTATATTTGTAAGACGTATATATGCAAACACAGAATCTGCAACACTTGCTTAGACCCTAGTTCTCTTTACTTATGTGAGATATTTGAAAATGGCGGTTTCTGTTTTTATCAGACCAGTTTATTTGCCTCCATGTGCTAATTGTTTTTTTTTTTTGTTTTTTTTTCTCGTGGGTCTTTTTGTTTTACAATTTATTTAAAATGTGACACTTTAGTGGGTTGTAGTTACATTAATGTCTCTTGTTCTGAGGTCAAGTCTATCAAATCTTTTTCCTTTCCCTGTAATATTTCCAGAGACGGTTGGATTCAGTGACGGGGTGGTTTGATTTATTGAGGCAGGATCTTAACTGTCAAAGTGAACGATGCGAAGCAGTTTTCCCTCCTAATTACGTCGTTCTTGGTCATTTTCCTCCCAATGTATTTGAATGACTCTGATGTTGACAGACCGTGCTGTTAAATGTGAAGCCAGGATTTCATTGGTTTTAGTTTTATTCTCAACAATCTTGGGTTGTCGCATCATTACTTTTTCAACCTCGTTTTTTACGACTGTTAGATTAGTTCAGATGCCGCCAAAGACGCCGTTTCAAAACGAAACGATTCAAGACCTTTTTTATACTTGACACCTGTTACAATACCCCATATGATGTGGTCTGACTGGACCTTAATGTTTTGTTTTTTTTGTGAATGTTTTTTGTTAATTCATAGTCTTTTTAAATGCTTGAAAATAAAATGTTATACATGTGAAATGGACTGTTTACATTCATTCTCCTCTTGAAGACCTTTATAATTGTTTTGGCAGAGGAAGCTCTGCTTTTCTTTGAGGGTGAGCATATTTAAATAGAAAATAATTTTCTGTTTAATATTTAACAAAAGTTTCTCCTCAGAGGGCAAATTGTATGTCTCCTATGATGCTGGGGACTAATCCTGTTCTTTGCCATAAGATATGAGCTAAATCAAAAAGTTATGTATCAAGAGAATAGTGTTATAATTTATTTTGATTTTCAAAGTAAAAATAATGCATTCTACAAGCGCTGATGAGCATTGATAACCATGCTACAATATTGGTCAACATAATTTCTAAAGGTGGTATTACCCCTTCCTACAATTCATATTGGCTGATTCGGTGTTTCATATCTGTTCTTCAGGTTGGAGTTTTTTCTTTTTTAATTAAAGTTGCTTTTAAAATTATAAAGCACTTAGAAAAAATATATTGTGCATTATTGATGTCACCTGAGCATCTAAACATTTTTACCAGTTCAAATATTACATTTATGCTTATACAATTTAAACCAAAGTACAGTGCATAGGATACCCAAGTGGGCACTGTTTAGACTGAAGCACCAAACACTAAAGCATTTGGTCTTTATTTAGCGTCCTCCATGTTTAATGAACCAGATTAAGCTGAAATGAGATTCAGGCATCTAGATTGGTTCCTTCAAATAAATCTGTAGTTTACAGAGAGATTACAATATTGGTCAGCTAACGGGTGCAAAATACAGATAATCTATGTAACTGAACAATGAAGATGGCAGTTTGTTAAGGGAACTGTGGGACTTCACACAAACTGGATTTTTTTTTTTTTTTTCCTAAAACTTTCGAACAGACAGGAAACTGGCCTGGGAGGCTGTGACGATTCAGGCAAGTGCAGTGTTGGATATAATACAGTGTTTTGTACTTAATAAAAATCACGTTCGGTGACATTAAACTGTAGGGCAAAATTCACACAAACTATTCCTCTTCCTTAAAAGAAAAGAGTAGCTTCACTAAAAGAATCAAATTCAAACATGAAAAAATAAAGGCATGAATAAACATAAAATTGGACACATGACTTTGCATTGAAACTAAAACATGTTTTCCTAGAGCTTTGTTTAAGACATGAAAAATTAACTTTTTTTTTAATAAAGCAGAGCATTTTTCAAACTTTTGCTGTATTTGATTTATTTTATAAAAATGTAAACTAATTTTAAAACTGTTGATAAGAACTGGACCAGAGGACAATAGATTAAAATCTTCAATCTAAAAAATGTACTATATGCAATATGGGGATAAGGGTTGTGTTTTGTTTTCTAAAAGGTTATGCTTCTAAATTGTAATATAAATATATTATTGTAATATATATATATATATAATCTTATATAGCAATATATTCATGACATGACAGTTTGCATTGGTTATAACATTGATTTAGCCTAATGTATTGTGGAAACATTGCATAGTTACTTTAATTCAGCTCGATAGTTCATTTTCATTTTTTATTTAAAAGTATTTTTTTTATAGAAATAAAAATCATAGCGGTACATAGGAACCATTATTTATCTCCATAGTTTGTAGGGGACCTAGTTTTCGGTAACACAGAAGCAATGGCTGTTTTGCAAGCCTTTCTTGACTCTCCTGTGGCCCCATACTTCTTAGCTGCCATTTAGGTGATTATTTGAAAGCTTTTGTTTTGTTTCGGAACACTGAAAGCTTTTGTTTTGTTCTCATTAGTGGGTGGTATATTTGTCACATTTGTTGATTTGTAACGTTAAAATATTGACGTATTTTCGCATAGATCTACTGCGGGTTTCTAGATATGTCAGGTTACATTTCTTCTAGCGGCATTTGACTGAAAGCCTTAACTGAACCATGGATTTTTTTATTCCATATTTTAAAGATAATTATTTTATGAATTTTCATACGTTTTTTTTTTTTTAGCTTTACGTGACGTCAATCTACTTATTTAAATTATTCATAAACATTCTTTTAAAAGTATCTCCAGATCCAGTTTGGAATTTATAGATGCATCATGCTCTGTTTTTCTTTTTTAAAACAGTAAAAAAAAAAAAAATAATAAAAAAAATGAATAAATAAAAACGAGAACAGAAGTCACTTAGTTACTTAGGATGAGCAGAATATAAATAAATCTAAATATTTGCTCATTTTACGGGAATCAATAGGATGGAAGCATTCAAATAAGAATAGGAACAGATTTATAAACTGATTAGTTTGTTAATACAGCCAATGCAAGTCTCTCTATAAAGCATAATTCAGTACAAAGACAACTGAAAGTGCTTTACTTGAATTATATAATAAAATAGAAGCAAGTAAAGATAAACGCATGATAAAACGGGTAGTAAAACAAATAAAAGAGTTGGAACACAACCGTAAACTAATGATTCCTGGTTAACAGTTGTTTTTCAACAGTAGGAAGAGACACTGACCTTGCAAACACTTCTTATGTCCTGCAGGAATGATGTATTGCTTTAGTTTGACAAATAATTTACTTTTTGAGAAATCTGCTCTTTTGGTTGTTGTTGTTGTCCTGGTGCAGAGTGGATGTGATGTCAGATAAGCGTCAGCGTGCAAGAGTCCAGGGTTCCTGGGCCAGACAGCTGCCCAAACCCTCCAGTCAAACAGGTAGATTCAAGGAGAATCATTGCCTGCAGCCTATCAAATGATTCAGTTTTTTCTAGATAAAAATGCATGTTTTACTGCTTTCAGAAAACATCTAGTTAGCAGAGATGGATTTGTGGTTTCTGTTTTCTTTTTCCTTCATTTTTTCATCTCCTCCTCAATAGTTGGCATCCTAAACAATCAGCCCACAAATGCTAACACAGCCTCTGGAACGTGGAGATTTGGAAACCAAAAACCATCTAAAGCATTTGAATTTCACCAGCCAACCAAGGTAAACCAGAGAATGTAAAATGTGCTGCTTTTCAAATACATTTAAGGATGCTATTAAACCTTTGCGGCGTCATTCCCTGCAGCCAGTAAGAGAAATCCCACCAGAGAGGGTGATAGAGTAAGTTCATCTATGGCTGGTCGTCAAAACTTTGGTTTCAAAGTATCTATTTGATGCTTTTCTTACATTGAAACCCTTGTAAGATTTCCATTCTTTTCACCAAATGTAAGTAAATATGACTATTTTATTTTTCAACAGACATTCGGGTGATTATGAAATAAGTTCTGGGCCGTCTGGTGTGTCTCGGTGAGTACAGGGTGGTGACAGGAGATTTGTCTCAGGTGGATGTTTGATGGAAACACAAATTAAATTGAAGTTAAAAGACAGTAATATTTCTTCCCACTAGATGGCAGTCTTCATCTGGTTTGTAGCTCAAAATCCCATTTCATATTTCTGCAAATATGGGAGCAATTCTAGGAAGAGAATCCAGGCAGTTCGCAGGTTAATAGATAAAAGTAAGGCTGGAAATAATGACTATCTTGCAGATCGACAAATCTGCTGATTATTTTTTTTGATTAAATCGATTAATAATCAGATTACCAAGGATTCTTTGAAGAAGACAATTTGAAATTGAAATTAAATCCGGTGAAACTCAAACTTTTAGAGTTCTTGAGATTTTTTTTAAATGTTTAATGCAAAATATTTACATATATTCTTTTACAATCTTGGTATAATTCCTGCTCCAAGTGGGTCACTCTGTCAGCTAAAGGCATGTTTAAGAGTCTCTAGACTCCAGTCATGATTAACCGATTACTAAATTAGTTTCAGATTAATTCAATAATCGATTAATCACCATTATTTGTTTCAGCCCTAGATAAAAGTCAAAGTAAACTGCTGGTGAAGATTCTCAGTCATCCAGGTCATAGTCGTTCCAAAAAAAAAAAGAAAATTAAAAACAATCTGCTGGACTTTGTTTCCAAGTTTGAAGATGTTTCTCTTCCCATGCAGAAAGCTTTTTCAATTCGAAATGAATTGAAAAAGCTTCCTGGATGGGCAACAAAGTCCAGTGGATTGTTTTTTAATTTTCTTTTTTTTGGAAGTCAAAGTGAAACCAAGAATAACTAGTTCATGCAATCTATATTCTGAAGTCAGTGAGTTTTAGACTGTGTTGTCTGGATCCATTAATAAGAGCAGTTTTAAATGAATGAAAGGAGAAGGAAAATCTGAACCTGTTGATTAAAGATGTGCAGCCTTATATCCCCTGTTGGGAATGAAAAAATCCACCAACCAAATCTTAAATCTGCTGCAGAAATCTGCTCGGCATGTAACTGCTGTACCCTTTGATTAACCCCCCAGCATCTCTGAACGTTCCAGTTGAAACTACTCAGGTTTCTAAGCAAAACAGAGGAAGATACGACGCCTGGATGAGATTTAGTTGATTCCATAAACTCCTAAATCATCAGGAGGCTTCTTTCAGCTTTTTCTCCCAAGTTGTAGACTAGTTTACACAACAGTTAGTTCACTGTTTACCTTCCCTGTTTGAACACTAAGCAGTGACTTTATCTGTTTTGAAATGTTTGGTTTATTACTGTTATAAAAACAAACATCAATTCATTTTCTTAGCTGTTTATTTAGTCTTGTGTTTTTCGGACCCATCCAGGCTGCGGCTGAGGCCTGGCTTTCTCACAGCAGAAGAGGCTGACTGGATGTTCAGTAAGCTGCTGGCTGAGCTGCCCTGGTCCCAGAAGACTAACTACAGGCTGGGTGGGTACCGACAATAACTGATAATATCTGATCATATCTGATAAGCTGCTGGGCAGCCAATACATGTATTAGTTTCACTCTGCTTTGGTTATTTCATGGTTCATGGATCTGATGAAGTAATATGTTTTTAAAAAGTATTCATACTTCTCTACAAACCTTTGTGTATTTTAATGGAAACTCATGTGAAGAGACAAAAAGAAATGGAGTTGGAAGCATGTTTGAAATATTTTTATGATTCAATGTCTGGAAAACAGATCGGCGTGCTTCCGTACTCTGGTTTAAAACTTCCTAAAAACCATCTTCAAAGCATTTACAGCTGCAGGATGAAACTTCTCATCCAGCTGAGTCAGCTTCCCCCTCCCCCATATCATGATGCTGCCACCGCCGTATCTCACAGTAGAGACAGCTTGCTCAGGCTGGAGTTCAGTGTCAGTTTCTGGAACAAAACAACTTTTAAATCTAATATTTAATCATTGGCCTCATGCTGCTGGTGTCTCCTTCACAGATCCTTGCAAACTGCATCATGGGATTCTTCTGGCTTTTCTCCAAAAATTATTTTTCTTGCTTTTCTTCTTGAACATCTGTGGCTCCTCCAGGGTTTCCTTGGTGTGTCTTGGTAGCTCCCTACAGGAGCAGCGATGCGCCTGAGGTCTGCATAAAAAGATTTCTTTGATCGTGGATTCACAGTATTAACCTAACTGCTTTTTACTGCCCGCCCCAAAAAAAAATAAAGAAAAAGAAAGAAAGAAGGTTTGCAGTCGCAGCAGATTCAGTTCGTTGGCCATGGGCGTGAAGGCAGGGAGGATCCATCACCCTCACCTTCTGGCTCACCCTATGATGGGGATGAAGTATGGAGGAGAACTGACGGTTTCCTCCTGTGAACCCCCTTTATACCAAAACGCTGCCAATACGCCATTATACAGTAGCTGGAAGTTAGAAACACGTTCAGCGCTAATCTGAAACACATCAGATACGTTAGTATGGGTTGGAGAGAAGTCCTTGATAAGTTATGCACAAGTTACTCAGAGGTTTAGGATAAGCTAGATGCAACGACTGATGAGGAACTGACACTGAACGTATGTCAACCATCAGAGAACTGACCTGGAACTGATGGCTCATGTATGACATGCCAGAATTTTTCGCATGGAAAATCTGGCAAAAGCGTTGGCAAACGTTGGATAAGTTTTGGGTATGTTTTGTACAAAATATGAGCATCCTAAAGTACGCTGAAACATGAAACACGCTGGCATACGGCGATTACGGCCTGACCTATGCCAGTGTGTGCCATACGTGGGCCATAAGTTCCAGGTAAATTATCTGATCGTTGACATGCGTTAAGCTTAAGTTACTCATAAGTTGTGGCGTCTAGCTCAGTCATCCCCAACCTCGATCCTCAAGGCCCGCTGTCCTGCAGGTTTTAGAGGTTTCCCTTCTCCAACACAGCTGATTTTAATTGAAAGCTGATTAACAGGCTTTTGGTCTACTGCAATCATCATAATCAGCTGTGCTAAAGCAGGGAAACCTCTAAAACCTGCAGGACAGCGGGCCTCCAGGACAGAGGTTGGGGATGCCTGGTCTAGCTTATCCCAAACCTCTGAGTAACTTCTCCTCCAGGCTGCATCCCCAGGCATACGCTGGTCTAAATCGTCAAGGTGACAGGGGCTTGATGCAGAAAAATGAAATTTCTTATTCATATTTTTCAATTAAACCTTTTCCTAAGTTTTGATTTCCTAACAGCTAAAGTAAGAGAACATATTCACAAAGGGGTTACCCAAACACTCAGACATCTCAGTGGTTAATTAAAAAAATCCACCAGTTTTTCAAGTTTCCCTAAATTGCACCCTGATTTTCTTTATAAATTAATTGACCTTATTCTAATCTGAGGGTTAACTTTTTTTAATGGCTACCATCATGATCCGACACATGGATGTATCTGCTGATTCGTTAATCCGTTCCTCATTTCCAGAAGCTGCATGAAATGATCTTTTTCCCCACAACCCTGACCTGCTAGACATGAACCTTAGTTACCATCATTCTGTTCGTTCTAACAAATTTCTCAGAACTTCTGAGGTTCTGCTAAGAAAGAACTGCAGACAAATCAAGCCGCTTTGTTCCTTTAGGGACTTCTGAAGGTTTTATTAAGAGGTATCACAATAAATGGGGGCTGAACAAAAATACACATCACAGATAAACGGAAGTTTGAAGCTGCGACTTGGAGAAATGTGAAATAGTTTCCACTGTATTCACATCTAGGAGGTCAAACCATAAACCCAGAACTGTCCCTTTTCCTACCGTCTGCCTTCTCTTCCAGCTGGCTCTCATCCATCTGATGTGCTAATCTGCGACAGCGCTGCAGCAGACACTTTGTAATCCTCTTTCACTCACTGGAGTTTGTCAACAAAGTACTTAGTGTTTGACAGAAGGAACAGCTGAGAGCTGCCCATGCTTTGTTTTCCAGATTGTTTTAATGCACTTATTTCCTTTTTATAATCCATTTGGTCTCAGGAGTCTGAATTTAGAGAATGGGACCTTTTTTCCTTCTGCTAACATCTTTTTATGGAAGAAAAGAAGCTTGTTAAATGGTTCCACAGTTAGAAATGTTTGCTCCGAGGTTCCAGGAATAGTTCAGTCCCAGTAGAAATGATGGCTTGTCAGGGAGTTTGTTTTGGTCGACTGTGTTTCTGTACCCGAGGATTGGCCAAAAAAAGCAGAAAAAACAGAATAGCTACTTGGGAGGGAGGCACACAGACCCAAAGATGACAACAGAATAAGGGTCCAGTTGGAAACAGATGTTCTCCCCACGTTTGGCTGGAGCAACTGTTTGGTGGCGAAATATTTCCCCGTTAAAAAAAACATTAGAACCAGTTTCTTCATGTTCTTTTCTGCTTAAAATGTTAATTGTTTATTTCCTGATATTGGCTTTTATTTTGGAGTAAAACTGTCAAAATGAATCCAACCTGTAAATATGTCACTGATACAGTTTTGGGGTTTATTGCCTTTTTTTATTGATGTTTTAGCTCCAATAAGATTTAGACTTGAAAGTTGTCTAAGTCAATAAAGATATTTGCTGAAACCTTCCTTTTATTTTGTAATTAAAATTTTTTTTAATGCTTGCTTTTTTTTTCTTCTTTTTTTTTTTAGCAGTTGCTAATATTGCTGTTTTTTTGTCCAGGTGAGGCATATGAAGAGCCAAGGCTGACCTGCTGGTACGGAGAGCTGCCGTATACCTACGCCCGCTCCACCATGGCCGCCAACCCACAGGTACCTCCATCTTTATTTTAAGCAGGGGAAAGACTGTGATTTTTTTAAAATTGTTGCATGAAGCTACGGATCACATTGTGTGACGAAACCACAGGGATTCGTCGTACAATTTGAGTTCACAGCTCTTGATGCATGTGCGGCCCGACACTGTGATGCGATCTACCTGCTCACACTGTACGTCTAAAAACCAGGTGGGACTCAGCTCCGCAGTGAGATGGCGCTACTCTGACTCGTCTATCCGGAAGCCAAACGAGTAGAAGAGGAATATGAAGCTCACTAGAGTGAAACGCGCTGCCTTGGAAATTAGCGCAATTTTGTGCTGAAAGCCCTAAAAAGAAAAGGCCATGACATATTTGGACAAAGACATGGCTGAGCAAACAGGACTACTACGGTCAGAAAGAACTCCATTTCACTCATTGCATCCCTGCCATGCTTCTGGGTTTTCAACCTAGAGGAAGAAGAAGAATCCTTGTTTGCGAACTGAGCGATCTGCCGACGACCACCTTACGATGGCCGATTGAACCTCAAACATGTTTGCTTTTCTCCCGACCTTACGATTCCTGATCAGGAGGTGGTCGTGAAAGGTTGATCGTCCCTCGTTACCCCCTGTACACTACACCACGCACGGTGCACGATCAGGCTGAAAGTCAGCCTGACTGGAAAGTCACCCTGAAAAGGGCAAAAAAATCACACAGTGTACGCCCGGCTTAACTGGATCTGATTGAGGAAGGCTAAATGTCTAAAATCTATGAAAATGGAAAAAAGATGTTGTTTTTTGTTTGTTTTAATATGGTTTGCAGGAACTCAAACAAACAGGTTTCCAATCCTGTAAAGATTTGTATAATGAATAAATCTAAACAATAAATGTAAACCTTTCTGTAAATGAACATTTGTGGCATATACTGCAGCACAAGTTTCAGCGTGGTGCGGTGCCAGGCAGGTGGCTGTTGGAAACAAAGCAGCGGCTGTGTCTCGGGCTATGGGGATAAAAAGCAAGATGTGTGATGAGAACAGAGGATTAAAAGAAGAATGGAGCGAATCATTTGCTTTCATTACCGATGAGGATGGATTGCCTGCATGTTTGCTTTTAATGAGAAGTTGTCAGCTAATAAAAAGAGTCATTTGGAAAGGCATTTCCAGGGAAGGCATGCTAAATACGCTGCCGACCACAAAGTTGGGAATTAGAGAAAAAGTGCAATTGCAGAACTTCTGGAGAAATTAGAGGATAGAGTCCCTCCATCATGGACAGCACCTTCCACCTTCTAAACCAGACTGTAGAGGAGCTGAGCAGCTCCTTTAGTCAAAGACTTTTGCATCCTGTTTGTAAAAAGGAGCGCTACTGCAGG